TCAGATTTGTGTCCATTAATTCTTTTGCGTAGAGACTGTCCGGTTTGGCCAATGTACATGGCAGAGGAATGATTAAAGGTCTAGAGAACATGACCTATGAAGGAAGGCTGAAAGAATTGGGTTTGTTTAGTTTGGAAAAGAGAAGACTGAGAGGGGACATTATAGCAGTTTTCAGGTATCTAAAAGGGTGTCATAAGGAGGAGGGAGAAAACTTGTTCATCTTAGCCTCTAAGGATAGAACAAGAAGCAATGGGCTTAAACTGCAGCAAGGGAGGTTTAGGTTGGACATTAGGAAAAAGTTCCTAACTGTCAGGTGGTTAAACACTGGAATAAATTGCCTAGGGAGGTTGTGGAATCTCCATCTCTTGAGATATTTAAGAGTAGGTTAGATAAATGTCTATCAGGGATGGTCTAGACAATATTTTGTCCTGCCATGAGGGCAGGGGACTGGACTTGATGACCTCTCGAGGTCCCTTCCAGTCCTAGTATCTATGACAGCTCACATCACATCTTCCCAGCTGACCATGGCAGCTCCATGCACCAAATGCTCTCCCACTTGCAGCACACCTGAGTTTTTGGATCTGCTGGCACTGTGGGAGAGGGGGCTGTGCAATCCCAGCTCCACTCCAGCCATAGGAACTTCAGTACCTATGGTCAGATTTCTCATGGCATGTTGGATAAGGGCTATGAACAGGATAAAGGAGCTGAGGCAGGTACCAGAAGGCAAAGGAGGCAAACCGTTGCTTTGGTGTTGCACTGAAGACCTGCCACTTCTATAAAGAGCTGGACACCATCCTCGACAGCAATACCACCTCTACCTTTGCTCTGTATATTCTAGAAGTGGGTGAAGGGATAGAAATGTACAAGACTAACTGTGTTTGTGTGTGCTTCACATTCCCCTGTACAGCTAAACAGTGTGGCAGAACAGTGTGTTGATGCACACTGAGATTTAACAGGAATCCTCCAGAGACATCTCTAGGAAACTTTCCTGGAGGTATTCGCCAATCCTCTGCTGAAGGTTCCTTGGCAGAGCTGCTTTGTTCCTTCACCCATTGTAGGAAACTTTCCTGTGCCAATTGGCAATCACTTATGCAAGGACTGAAGCGGCACACAGGTGAGCAGCATAGGGACCAGGTCAGAAGCTGCATTCATGCAGGAGATGCACCCTTGCATCCTTGCTTGCCCTCAGGAGTCAGATATCAGCTTCAATGACCCCCCACCTGTGGAAAATGGTGGCAGAATTTACATTATTGTCCTTAGTCGCCTTCACTGATCCCCTTAAAAAAACCACTAGACACTTTGTCCCATCTTGAGCACACAACCTTCCTCCCCCCATGGGCCACTCCCCACATTTAGGGTGTTCGCCAAGATGTGTGCTTGCCAAAGGACAGTGAGAAAGTGATTCATATGTCAAAAAAGGTGTATTTTACTTTAATGATTCAATGCTGTGTGTGAACTAATAATCATGCTTTTGTTTATTGTTTCCTGCACTTCTGCAGATGTGGTCTTTGGGGGAACCCCCTAAACACTGGCAGAGCACCTCAGCCAGATAAGGAAGAGACCAAGGTGGAGCAAAAAGGACATGTTTCAAGAGGTGTTCCAATCCTCAGAGGCTGAAAAAAGAGAACCCAGAGTGGAGAGAGACCTTGAAGGAAAAATTTAAAATAGACAGGCAGGACAGAAAGGAGAGCAAGGAGTGCATTGTAAAGCAGTTGTTCTCAACCAGGGGTCTGCAGCCCCCTGGGGGGGATAAGCAGGGCCGGCATTAGAGTTGCTGGGGCCCAGGACAGAAAGACAAAGCCTCACCGCAAAGGCTGAAGCCCAGGGTCCCAAGCCCCGCTACCCAGGGCTGAAGCCAAAGCCTGAGCAACTTAGCTTATCGGAGCCTCCTGGGCTGAAAGATCTGAAAGATAACCAACTTTTATTTGTCTCCTAGAAATGGTGGTTGCTGCTGGTAATAATACATGGTGGCAATTTGATCATTTGCTGACCACAAATACCAGTCAGGAATAATCACAATTTTCATGCAAGGCAGCAAGTTAACAAAGCATGGCACATTCCTGGTGCTCATTGTCAAAATGTTGCCACAAAGCTTCCCTGATTCAAATAGCCCCCCATTGTGCCCCTTTAATAGCCCTGGTATCTGGCTGCTCAAAATCTGCTGCCAGGCAATCCACCTCCATGCTCCAACCCGGGGGAAACTTTTCACCCTGAGCCTCACAAATATTATGGAGTGCAGAGCAGGCTGCTATGACCATGGGAATATTTTCCTCATTTAGGAATGCCATAAAGGCAGCGCCAGCATGTTTTTAATCTGCCAAAAGCACAATCTACAGTCATTCTGCACCTGCTCAGCCTATTGTTGAAGTGCTCCTTACTTCTGTCCAGGTTTCCCATGTAAGGCTTCATGAGCCATGAGAGTAAGGGGTACACTGGGTCTCCCAGGATCACTATGAGGATTTCAACATTCCCCACTGGAATCTTATGGTCTGGAAAGAAAGTCCCTGCTTGCAGCTTTCTGTACAGCCCAGTGTTCCTGCAAATGAGTGTCATATGCTCCTTCCTGGACCACTCTGCGTTGATGTCAGTGAAACACCCACAGTGATCCAGAAGCGCCTGCAATACCATGGAGAAGTACCCCTTTCTAATGATGTACTCTGCTGCAAGATGGTCCAGGGTCAAAACTGGAATATGCGTGTCATCTATCGCCCCTCTGCAGTTAGGGAATCCCATTGCTACAAAGTCATCCACTATTTCACGCACATTGACAAGAGTCACAGTTCTTCATAGCAGGATGCAATTAATGCCCCTGCACACTTGTGATAACGCAGCCTCAACGGTGGACTTCTGGACTCCAAACTGATTTGTGACTGACCGGTAGCAGTCTTGAGTCACCACATTCCACACAGCGATCACCATGCACTTCTCCACTGAGAGGGCAGCTCTCATTTTGGTGTCCTTGCACCATCATGCTGGGGTAAGCTCTGCACACAGTTCCAGGAAGGTGGCTTTCCCCATCTGAAAGTTCTGTAGCCACTGCTTGTCATCCCAGACCTGCACAACAATGTGATCCCACCACTCAGTGCTTGTTTCCTGAGCCCAGAACTGACACTCCACCATGTTCAGTTGCTCTGTGAATGCCAGAAGTAATCTGCTGTTGTTTCTTTCCATGACACACAGCAGAGCAGGCAACTCTGATTTTTGTTCAGATTGGGAGTTCATGATATACTGCATGACCATAATGTGTTCATAACAGTGACCACAACAATAGAGAGCCATGTGGGATCCATCCTTTCAGACAGAAATGGCTTCTGAAAAATGCCATGAAACACAGTCAGAAGCCTATGGAATGATGGGATGGAAAAAACTACATCATGGGACATTGATCCTGCACCCATGATGCACTGCCATCCACTCCGCCTTCCCACAACTCCTAGCGGCAGAAGGTGGCAAGTAGCACTCTGGGATAGCTACCCACAATGCACTGCACTCACTGTTGATGCTAGAGCCCAACTGTGGATGTGCTCTGCTGACAGAAGGAGTGTTGTGTGAATATGCACAAGGGATGTAATTATACCGGTTTTTGATTGTAGGCGTAACTTGCATCGACAAAACGTGTAGTCTAGACAAGCCCTTAGTGTCTATTACTAGAGTTCACGGTAATAGGATCGGAGGATATAGTGATAACTAGGCCAGTAAAAGGCACAGTATGATATGGGCAATAAGAAATCAAGTTCTAAAGGTGAAGGAGTAAGGATCTTCGTTGGAGAATTCCAGGAAACATGAAAAAGTTACCGTACAGTACTTTAGGAAACTCTGAGAAATGTTATTGTCCATTTCTCTAAGCACCCAGTACCGAAGAAATGAGTCAGCTCTTCTCCTGTTTTTTTTACTAAATATCACTCCAGCAATGACACTGTTAATAAATACAGTGGAAGGACAGCTCTGTAAGCTGAGCCGTGTGGTCACGTTGCTCAGTGTGCTAGTTTTATTTTTAACATCCAAAATCACTTGATATACCTTTCAACTTGGGCTTACTCTTTCGCTCCCCATTCTCGCCTTCTACTTATCCCTAATCACCTTACTTCAACCCAGCTGAGAAAAACCAAGAGAACAAGTGTCTTGGATACAATCACAGTGACTGTATGATCAAGGTAAGGCTTTACAAATAGGAAACAGTCTTGTTTTTTTATTAATCAAAGCTTATGCTAATACTACACAGCCAAGCCTAAAACAAGGTTGAAATCTACAAAACAATCTCAGTGGCTAGAGTAAAAAAACAAAGAAAAACCTCGCAGACAAATTTTTCAAAAGTGTTCACTCATGCTAGCTGGCCCTGCTTTTGGATTCTTAATGTGAGGTACCTTGGTCTAGATCCACAAAGACTTAGGCACTGCAAAGCTCAGTGGTGCAGTGCCTAACTTTTAGGTAACTTGCTGGCCAGTGGTCTTCTCACTCTGCATGAGGGGTGCAGACTCCCTACACAGTGTATGAGGAGAGTTATGTGCTTAAGAATGGGGTTCACAGCAGCCAGCAAGGTGAGTGGATAGCTACCTCAGACAGCCAGTAGAAAATGCTGAGAGGGGTTAGGCCTAACCAGTGTTAGACACAACATAGGCAGTGGTGAGCTGGAGCCGGTTCCCACTGGTTCGCAAGAACCGGTTGTTAAAATGAGACACTGGTATAGAACCGGCTGTTAAGTGGCGGGCAGGTGGGCAAACAACTCTGGTCCGCGGGCGGACCGTCCTGTCCCCCACCTGAGCTCCCAGGAGTCCCAGCTGGGGAGGCCGAGGCTCCCCTGGCCCCCCCACCCCCCGCAGAGCCGCCGCATGCAGAGCCGCCAGCAGCTGGGCAGCTCAGCTACCGAGTCCTGCCGCTTTGAGCAGCTGCTGGCAAGGTAAGGGTGGGGCTGCGAGCTCCAGGGCCGCCCGGGTGGGGGGGCAAGTGGGGCAATTTGCCCCGGGCCCTGCAGGGGCCCCCGGCCCCACAAGGATGTCTCTGGGGCTGAGCTCCTCCCGCTGAGAGCCGGCAGGCCGAGTGGCAGTTGCTCAGCAACCCTCCAACGTTTTGTCGGGTGTAAGAAAAACATCCACAGCTACCTCACAATTATTGTGGGGGATGGAGGAAGAAAGCTAGGGGGGACAGAGAGGCAGCCTAAAGAGCCAAATCTGCTTGCAAGCTTTCTAATTAAATAGTGTCACTTCCCTCCACTGGTTACTTGGGAAGTAGGCAGCCGTTGGGAGAAAGTTGTATATTTTTGCAATTTAAAAAAATATAATTTCCATTATAAGGACAATGTTTTAGAATTGTTGGTCGTGAGTATTTTAATAATTATATGTTACAAGGAAAACTGTGGTCAGTGCTTTACTAAAAAATAATAGGGCACTTGCTTTTTTCTATCCCGGTGGCTGTTACCCTGTACTACAGTCCTGTATTACTAGTGTTTCCATTTCATAAACTAACAACACTATTCAGAAGAGGGGCGGAGGGGGACTGTCCCTCCCCTATCCTGCAGCTGCAGCCCTGTTTCACCTACTTAGAAAAAGCTCTAGAAGAACTTACATCAAAACCTAAACTCAGTGTGAACGTGTAGAGTTTTGTTTTGTCCAGTGGGCCATTTTAAAACATAAATTATAAGATTATTTTTCTCCTTTGTATCAATCACTGAACTATTCTTCACCGATACCTGATAAACATGTAAAAATGGTTTTTTTTATTGTTAAGTATGGCTCCCAATAATGACTCAATGCATTGCCATTTCTTATGGAGAAAGGTACAAAAAATACACACTGTGGAACATCCCTTAAATCAGAACTTTTTAAAGGGAACTGGTTGTTAAGATTTTGGCAGCTCATCACTGAACATAGCTTTTTGGGTGCCTATCTCTGCTCAGGATTCACAGCCATGGAGATAGGCACCTAAGCCAGGTCATCTCTTTCTCAAGAATAAACAGAGAGAGACCTCTATGCTATCGTAGCCAATAGCCTGGTGGTTAGAGTACTCACCTGGGATGTAGGAAACCTGTTTTCATATACTTGCTTTACCTGATTTGGAGCAGAGACTTGAACTTGGGTCTCCTATATCCCCAGTGAGTGCCCTAGCCACCAGGTTATTCTCAGTTTCTCCTGTTCAAGCTGCTCCACTTTGTATAAATAATTAAATAATTCATTGGTGCAGGGACTTAAGTCTCCCATGGCCCAGCTGAGTGCCCTAGCCACCCGGCTATCGAGTCAGTCTCTTTCTTTTTCTCTTTGGCCCAAGTAATATTTAACTGTTTAACACAAAGTGGAACAGTTGCAACAGGGGAGAGAGACCTACCCCCAGAATACCCAGTAGCCTGGTGTCTGGGGGCACTCACCTGGTTGGTGGGAGACCCATTAAGTCCCTGCTCCAAACCAGGCAGAGTAGGGATTTGAAAACAGGTCTCCCATGTCCTGGGTGAGTGCTGTAAGCCTGAGGTTTTGGGTATTCTGGGACACACACATTTTTTGCCAATATTCCTGCTCTGGCTGCCTTAAGCCATCTTTAGTGTGGGGCCTGAACCAGTAAGCATGTTCTGAGAACCACCTGTGGAAATGTAGGCACCTAGGGGACTATACCACAGAAGTAGTGACACCTAGGGAAGTTAGGTGCCTCCAAGTTTAGGTGGCAGCTGAGCAGGGGGGTTAAGGATCTCAGTGGTGCCTAAATTTTGGGTTTAGGCATCCCTTTGTGAATCTAGCCCCTTGTGCTTGATTTCTTATCACCTCTGAAAATCAGGTATAAAGTGTCTCAAGTTGGATTCCACATTACAGAGACACCCTGCATCAGTGAACACTTCTGAAAATATTGGTCTTAAACTTTATTGATTTTTTTTTCTCATGATCTGTACAAAATTTGAATATTTTTAAAGGATCAGAACAATTGCACCATTTCTTGAACAGTGCTGGATAGGTGATGTGTGTATGGCAAAACACTTTTCCTTTCTAAAGGGTCAGATTCTGAATTCAGTTACCTTGGTGTAAATTGAGATTAGCTCAGTTAAAGTCAGTAGAGTTACAACACTAATTGACAGGTTTCAGAGTAGCAGCCGTGTTAGTCTGTATCCGCAAAAAGAAGAACAGGAGT